CAATGCCGCGGTGGAACAGATTATCTTCTTAGGAGATATAGCAGATGTAAGCAAATGGGTAAAATGACGTTCACGACTTACTTGCAGTTTCCAAAGAAAATCTAGACGGTGATTAACTTCTAATGAACGGCCATGTTTGCTCCAAGTCAAAACAAATAACACAAGTATACACCAATAGTTAAGTATACTAAATCTGTCGAGAGAATAAGAGCAGTTAAGAAATGACAAAGCGATTATTGCGATAAGATAAACACGTCGTTGCTTGCGCTGTTTTTTCATTTATTCTTGTTTATGTATACACAGCATCTCTCATAATAAATAGAGGGAATAATGACTACTGACATTATATCTCTATAGTTTTATAGGATTCAACATCGGGGATCATTAATGACCTAGTTAAAGTTACGGTACAGGGTACGCCACGTCATACTCGAGTGTACACAAGACGACAGTGTGGATGCGTCTACATGAAATTCGTTTAAATTTGGTTTCCATACAATCGCTACACGCTATCTCCGACAGCTTTCAGTGATGGTGATTGGTCGGTCGAATCGGGGAGCCTTCGTCGGGAACAGCTACGCAGGACAACGATTGCTCTGAAAACACTGCACCGACAGTGTAGCGGCTTAAGGAAATCAGGCATTTCACGCTGAATCACAACCAATCGCAGACCGGACACTCAACAGACTATTTAGGCTACCTTTAAGGACGAATACGGGCGCACCAATATTGTGATGGGAACAGCTGGAACTGCTTTGCTAATGTTAATTTTGCCATATGCATTATTCAATTGCACATAATATTACAATTTGTATTATAATGAATTTTTGTTATTATTACTGGCATTCTTATGACTATCTTCATCGTTGTGTTATGTCTGTTATTATTATTACCATAGATTAATTATTATTATCATTAGGCAGATTACATGCGCAGTTGCACTATGAGATGGTTCATGCCATAGTATTTGCAAAGAATTGCATTCTAGATAATCTAGGAAGCTCAGGTAGCATCAATCAATTACTTTGTATGATGTAAACAGAACATCGTGTGAAATAAATGTCGACATTACCATTGACGGTGATTATTTCACAATCAGGAAAACTACTCAGAAATCGATTGCTTTACATCCAAATGAATAGATACATGTTGCAGAAGGAAAAGTTATACGTAGTCTGGGTTGTTTGATGAGTGGTCGGTGTAATAACAATTATATTAATATTATCATTATTATCTTTGTAAGGGTGAATATTAGCACCTAATAATAAATAATTAATTAATTTAAATATTAATTATTATTAGCACATAATAATAATTAATTAATTAATAAAACTAAATACATTAATGTAAATGTATAATTTATAGACCTTCAAATGTTGTCCGGGTTGTTTGATCAGCGGTCGGTGTAATAAAAATGATAGTAATAATAATAATAATTATTATCTTTGTAAGGAAGAATATCAGCACATAATAATAATTAATTTATAAAACTAAATACATTAATGTAAATGTAATTATAAGTGTATAATATACTTAGGCTTATAACAAATTTTAACCAGTGTTGTCCGAAAGGGCTGGTTCTACTTTTTGTTGTTTCACTTTTCAGCTGTCGCTTATCAAATTTGTATCTCTACCAAGATCCTGCAATTGTTTGCCCCAGCTTTGTTGTTTTTCAGTAGTTTTCTTTTGAATCTTTATATATTTATATATAACAATCAAAATTATAACCACTATATTTTGAACACGTTTTGATGTTTTTAAATATTGTATCCGTTTTTTGTAGTCTCTGTTATAGAATCTCTTTTGCATTTTATGTCTTGTCGTATTTATCAAGTTTTCTACATCATTTCCAGCAACCGATTTTGGTTTTATACCTTTTTATGTTGTATAGAACACATAAAGAAAACTTCAACTTGAACGGTATTTTACAATATGTGAAATAACAAGTGTATATGAGTTAAGAAACATAACACATAATTTGATTACATACACTATTTCTGTGGAGTTGAGAAACATAACACATAATTTGATTACGTACACTATTTCTGTGTGAGTTGAGAAACTAACACACAATTTGATTACGTATACTATTTCTAAGGAAGGAATCCATTACTTACTTATCAGTGTCGTAATGATACCATTTTAGAAGAACACCATAAAGAACAGCGGTACCGCTTAGCACTACTCCTTTCACGAGGTGGTTCAGATGAATAAATACCGCACATAATTGCATATCCAATATTCCAAATATGAAAAAACACTGCCAGATAAATAGTAAAAAATACAACATAAGTACTAACAAATATATGAGGCTGATGTCGATATAATATGGAAGGGATTCGAACAAGAAATACGTTTAATTTCTAATGAATTATCTGTCTTGTCCTTTGAAACATTCATACCGATTCAGTTTCTGAATATTAATAAGCAATTAATAGAGTTAAACCAGTGGAAATTATTATGCAAAGGTTAGATTCATATACGAAAAAAGATGAAGCAAACCGTGCACTAACGGGGATAGGAAATGTCACGATTCTAAAATGTTACTAATTTATAACAAATTAGATTCTTAGTTTTTGGAAAGTACTTGCAGTAATATTCTTTTTTTCTTTCTAATTGATTTTTTTTTATCTTGTATTTGTTTTTATTTGATTTTAAAAGTAGGTTTTTGAGTTGTTTGTTATTTGTTGTATCAATTTTATCTGCATTTTCATATTGTAGTTGAGAAACCAAATACAAACTAACTCAGACCACACCTGCTCCTTCTATCTGGAATTGTCTGTTTAGTAGGCCTATTATCAGTAGAAAATGAGAAACATGTAATCGGTGGACAGGAATATAGAATTACTGAGTTTTTATTGATAATTTGTGCTCATACTTTGATATGTAGGCCTGCTTTTTCACATTCTATCAAAGAAAACCTTATCTTTCCAGGTCTGTTGCAATGCTGAGTCTCAAAGACAACATTCTAATAGTGTGTGTCCAGCTTTATTCTACGTGTATCATTACTGAATCGTTCGGTATAGACTGAGACTCTTTACCTGTATTGGCTGAGTCTTATCATAATCAATCTCAGGCACGCTGGCGTTGCTATGGTTAAAGTTACAATGACAGGTATACGGTCCCTGAAATAAAATTAAGATTATTTCGAGATGTTAGGCAAGTTTTTTTTTTCATTCATGCATTTAAAATCAACAGAGACCTTATAAGAGGCAGCCACCTATTCACTAGAATAAAAGATGTTTTTAGTGCTTAAATATTGTGCTGCTTAAACAATGACCTCATCAACGATATGAACTACAAAGAATCATTATATTTTATTGTTAATACAGACCTTTACTATTATTAGTTACTTTGTTTCTTCCGATTAATGTAAATATACATTTTTAAATTTTGATCGTTCAGTCTATGTCAATAAGTAAAATTTTTATTTTAGTTTTCGTGAAGTGCGTCATGTATTCGCTTTATGATCATAAAGATATTAAAACCACATTAAGTGATGTCAAACGTGGTGATATAATTATTCACTGTGAATATTTTTCAAGTATTTTGATGATAGTAGTATTAGAATGGAAATAGGTCTATAGGTGCTGGCGTCTTATCGATTGCTTGATTTGCAAATTGGAACTACACTTGCTACCTTAATGATATCATAAACAACACAGGTCTCAAGAGAAACATTAAAAGTAAGTGGTTGCAACAACTTTTGATTGTTTTGTTTTGGTTGCGTTGTGACAAATGTGTCTTTAGTTCTCCGACAGGAATACGTGCAAAATTGCGACTGTCACACACAAGCATAAATTTGTCTCTTGTAGTTAGATTCAGTAATATATATTTCAAAATATTGTAGTCTACAATAAGATAACAATGGGCATATTCGACTGGTTCATTTCGTTGAATTAAATTTCAGAAAATAAAAATTATAATATGAACATGAATTCAAAAAAAAATTGTAGGCTAACAGCATTCAAAAACTGGATGATTTAAAAAAAAATGAAAAACCCATACTGCCACAAGCTGAAGCAATCTTGATTACACAGTGTGTATGCAGCCATTTTGTTTTGTCGAGTATTTACTTCTTCGTTAATTAGAATTTTATCACTGCGCAGGTGGGCGTGGTTTAAGGAAGAACGACCAGTCGAATACGGCCATTGCTTTAGAAAAAACAGATATATCAGTGGTAGGATTGTATTCAGCCACGTAACTAGACTTTGATCATGTGGTGTGCCTTCCATTTAAATTGACAGTGGGGCAACTACTCAAGGAAAGAAAATCTATCCCAGCCGCAAATTTGATCAGACAAAGGTGCAACATTTTAAAGATAAAGTATCATGGTAACTCCAGACATTCGAGCTTATCAATCGCATTCTTGGCCTTCAAACATTCTTTCGAAAGTGTCGTTATTTGACATTAAGACTGTTTTTTTTTCTTTTGAAAATTAAAAATTTACAATCACTCACATTAGATGACCGTCATGAAATTGAGAGGTTATTTTTTGAAAAATTATAAGATTTTTATGTAACCTGGAGAATTTGTGCAACGTGAGATGCTATTGGGAGGCTGTATATTGTTTATCTATAGCTACAGAAGTATTGGATTGCATTGGATTGGATTGGATTTATTCGGTGTAAACACAAAGAATAGCCCACGAAAGTCTAGAAGAAGACTTATTTCCAGTGGGGTCCTTCTGGTGGTGATTGAGCAGTACACCGGGAGACAATCCCCTATTCTTTTCCGAAGAGTGTACTGCGTTCTTTAACGTGAACATGGGCCATAAATGCACACGGGACCATCGGCTTAAACGTCTCATCCGAAAGACGGTACGCTATTGTAACTTGTATTCCAGCCCTTCAGCTGAAACACAAGGAATATAATTGAACCGGGGACCTAGAGGTCTCCACGGTTCAGCGCACACACAATGGCTACCACCAGATTAGCCGACTGAGCTAAGCTGCTCTCAAGTATTTATATAAAAAGAGCAACTATACAGTCCATTAATTATGATATCCTTTATTTAGATTGATTACACAATAATCACACTATTTGAAAAAAATTAAGTAGTGACTGTGAAAGATAGGCTACATTAAATTTATGTTTCCATCAACATGCCGAGTATCAATGTCTGTACTGCTAAGACTGTTAATTATTGAGGCTTACATGAATAAAGAACATAACGATATTAAGTTTTGTAAAGATATTTTCAACATTGTTTATCAATTTGTGGCAACAAAGACAAGCCAAACCAGTCACTCGTCGCAGAAATTGATTTTTAGTTGTTATTAATACAGTGCTGAACAGTAAAATGAGGGAAATAAAATGGTAAAAGAATAATTTAAATCCGACATTTTCTTAAGATGTTACAAGCGTTTAAACATATATCTGTTTAAAGAACAATAGGCCTATTTGAGAAATCAGCCTTCAAAGTTTATGATATCGGGCATTTCTCAGGCAGAAACCATCACCAAATCGTTAAAAATTGAAAATGGGGACAATAACAGCAATAGCATGATGTATAGATATATGAAAGATAATTTAGTGCAATAAAATAGATTTCAAAAAATTTGACATTCCAGCATGTTCTGGCCAATATCTCTGCAACAGGATTTGCGATGAGTGACTGGTTTGGCTTGTCCTTGCCATATTTGTTATCTTGGGACTTATATATATATATATTAATTTATTATATATTAAAATGAAAATATATGCGGATGAGTGTGTGCTAAGTCATTAGGAACTTGAGATAATAGTGATATAGTTGTCTCAGCAACAATAGAGTTGCTTTCACAAAGGTCGACGGTCAGGATCTTCATTGCGACTTACGCTTACAAAGCTTGATTCACGAACAGTAGTACCTTACCACAAAGTATCAATGGTTGATCCTAACTGTATATATCACTTGTACATTTGCCGCTTGGGCAATTGAATGTCGTCATTAATTCCACAGTTTCCATGGCTTAGTTCCATCTTATCTTTTGATATTTATCATTGTTTCTTTCACACTTAAGTTGGTCAGTATTTATCAAAATCGTAGTAGAAATAATGTTTGTTGTCTGAATTTGTAATGCACTGTCTGCAGTTTCAGGATTCTAATTTTAAGAAGCTTTTTATCATTACACAAAAAAATTGTCTCCACGATGTCTAATTGTCGATTTCAGGCCTTTCTCGTTAAAAAAATATTTTCTATTAAATGGCATCGAGGGCTTATTGATGTCACTGAAGTTATATCAAGACAAATATGTGGAATCAAAGTGCCCTGACATAAATCATTTTATATTGCTTTATACATTTCCATTATTTTACCTGCCCAGAAAAGCTGTCCCAGTCTCGGATTTTCGCTCCACCCGCAAAGTGCTTACCGAGCTCACCACTTTCAAACCGTGGCGCCGCCTATGAATCCACTCTTTACGTATACTGTACAGTACGGTATATAAATATGAATGGCGTTCCAAAATGCAATCATGATACTTAGGTCTATGGTACATAACGTAGGCCTAATCACTTCACTCATTACAATGGCTGCCCATTCGACGTGTAAGTGGTATTTTCCTTTTTATTCGATCTATTAATGGCAATCGCCTCGTCATTAAATATTAGTATTGAATTTGATTACGTAAGTAATGGGATTATCATATTAAATTGAAATCTTCAGAACAGCTTCTGTATTTGTAAATCATGTCTTGGTTTGTTGAATAAGTGAATAAACAAGCCCACTTCACTTATAGCAATGTAGTGATTTGTTGCACATCATACTTGCGTTTACCGTGTGATAATGATAGGATACTCACGACTGTTTATTACGATTGCATCATTTGCAAGACGTTTTAAGGACATTACAAATAGCATTGTAGCAATCCCTAGAAGTACTTACACTGTAATGTGTATTGTATGCTAAGATACTTATTTATTTATTGTAATTTAAAATGAACGGGGAGAAATTAAATTGTTTCTTCGATTGGTTGATCGATCGATCGATTGATTGATTGGTTGATTGATTTATTGATGATAACCATAATCATGATAAAATTATAATTTCAATAATAATAATAATAATAATAATAAAATAATAATAATAATAATAATAATAATAATGGTATTAATAATGATAAAACTCAGTCAATTTTGTTAGGTGAACATTTGATTAAAGCTTAAGATATCAACTAAAACAGAAAGTAAATACCATAAGAGTTGTATACACACAGTACGGTAACAGTAACAAATTCATGACATTGATGATGCTAACAAATTAATACGTACTAAAGCAAGACTGGTAGTTAGAATAGCTAACGAAACGTAGTAGATGACGAGAAGAGTTCGAACGTGCCTGTTTTCTGCTATATACTCGGACAGACGTCGTATGCATCTCGGTGTTTTCGAAAAGGACTCAGCCAATGTAACAAACAACCCAAAGCCGAATAGCATGGTGGATGATATACCAATTAAACAATTTCCCCAATTTCTGAAATTCAATAAATTTCATAAATAATTCATTTGTGATACATCCAGCTGGTTACACCGCCAGAAGTTTGATATTGATAAATATATACACTATGAGGATTGGAAAATTATTAATTGAAAACGTGAATATTTTAATTAATTAATGGCTGGTTGAAAATATGGTTGTTTTCATTTCTATGTGTCTGGAAACTTGAATCAGGTGTTAGTTTTATTTTAATCAATCGGTGATTCAGGCCTACCATATAATTAATATATTTTTAAAATTCGTTTTATGGCCTAGGACATACAATATGTTTAAACTTTTTAACATGAATTTTATATAAATAATGCATACATTTTTAAATACGCAGAATCCATATTTATAGTTCAAGAACGGTCAAGATGCATAATGTTCCAAAGTTAATGCAGCCACATTCAATGCAGTCTTACAACCCAACCAGGTGCCATTTAACTCATGGGTGGAGGGACGCAGATAAAGTGCCTTGCCCAGGGACACAAATAAGTAACCAGTTTCAGACTTGAACCATGGCCCCTCAATACTGCTATGCTACCTGCCTCTGAGTTTCAGTCCTCTATGTTAATTTTTCTTAGGCTCTATGTTATTGTTATGTATGTTATGTTTATCAAAAATCATCATTTAAATTAAGTTAAGTATTAATCTTTCATAATAATATTATACAACATGATATGTATCATACCCTCAACATGACTTGCATATTTCATAATAAGGTTTATAGATTAGAATTACAGAAATGAAAGGCCTATATACATAGTCTTCTTTATGATATGCACGTGTATATGCATATGAATAATATGCAAAGGGCATTTCATAACAATTCATCATAGGCCTATGTAAGCATATCCATAATACATGCATAAGGTTCGTCCTACATGAAAGGAAAAAAAACCGACTGGCGTACCGATGATATTGTTTCTGATAAGTGTTCAATAAATCATCTTGTATGGCTCTAGACAGAATTAATACTTGATGCGTATAATTTTGAAATAAGAATGAAAGCAGAGTTTTGATTACATAGTGAAACGTAATGCAAACTCGCATCTAACCGAGAAGAAATGTATGTACCAATCGTCTTTTCACCTTCTACACGTTAAGCCTATGACAACAAGAAAATGTTAGCTAGTGATGATGCTAACGATGATGGTAATTATGGTGAATGTTGCTTTCTCATTCATCAATATGGATCATTAGATTGTGTATTTCATTATGTAGTTAATTCAATCGTGTAGGCTTAGGCATACACAATCAATTACTTTCAAATGAAGTTTAAATGGTATAAACGGTGTCATTTATTAGCGTGACTTACATCCCGTATGATGTTAACATAATGGAAACTATGAAGACTTGGTTGATGAACGCACACAGCGTGTTTGATTTAAACGTATCATCTCTCAGTAACGAAAACTGAAATTGAAATAAAAAGACGTTAGTTAGTCCTAAAGCAGTCCCCTTTCGGTTATACGACAGTGTATACGATCTTATAAACTAGTTTCTGTAAGATCTTTGCAGTACATTCACACGCTACAATAGTCAGTCACAAAATCACAGACAACCTGGGCCATTAGCACCTTATTGATAGATGGAGGTGTAAATGTGATGCTAGGAGACATAACAGATATCATTGGCTATAAGTTGCAGCGCGTAGCCTGTATTATAACGAATCACTGAATGACATTTGATTTCTAGATGGACCTCAATCCAGTAAACTTAAAATAAACAAAGTATATAAGCCGTACGGTACTGAATTGCTTAAGCACTACTAAGCTTTCAACTGAATATTGGAACGTAATTTGTCTGACCAATAATGAACAGATATTAAAATATAATACCATTTCTCATTGCTTATACCCTTAAATTTCTGTCATCAGGTTTAAGGAGTTTTGTAATAAAACGTATGTAAATATTGTAAATTCATTTTGCAATATGTGACGCACTGAAAGTTAATACCCAATGTCTAAATGTTCCTTTAAATCCAGGCTCCGGAGGGAAATATCTTTTGATATGTTACAACCGCCCTATTTTTCACCTCCCCACCCCCACGTTTTTAATTATTAAAATATATGTATCTTATTAACCGTTCCCGAGTTTTTTGTCAAATATGCTTTTTGTGTCTTAAAAAATCAGTTGTACAATATATCAACAATTTTTTAATCCGGAGCCTGGCTTTAATTGAGCAATTTTTATTTCAAATTGTAATTTTTTTTCATAACTTTGTAGGTTGCAGTATATCAGTCAACAGCAAGTAAGAATGAAGCGTTTAATAATAATTATGTCGTCATTTGTGGTAATGCCACTTTAACCACTGCAGCCTTTGTGGTGTCTGCTACAATTTCTTCATTCCTTAATACCATTATTGTATTTATGATCCTTACTACGACTATCGTTTGTACTAAGAGCATAATGAGAAATGAAAGAAAATCGTTTGGCAAAGTCGTTGCCAAATCCTCAATATCATTATGTAATACAGCTACGAATCGTTTCATCCAAATGTTATGGTACATGCGATTGTATTTCCATCACTCTACTACATCGTATGGATCAAATGTTCTTACAATAAGAAACTTTACAACACTCCTAATTATACTTCTATCGTAGTGTGATCTCTCGCAGAGAGATCATGAATGGCATAATAACTTATTTTAAGCAAAATGATCGTGTACCATGCGTAACTTTAATGAGTATATTAACGTATTTTGAATGTCATCGGACAGCAAGCAACAATATGTTCGAAATTCTGCAAACATTGTTGGGTGCTTCTATAATAAATAGAAGCGGTCAAAGTGAAAGAGGTGAAATAGAACGAAAAACGTGTTTTTTCTATATTAGTATACAAAAAAAGAATATCATTATTATTATCGTTATTGTTAGACGTTACTGTCACGGCTACCGTTAGCGTCAACATCGCCATCACCGCCACCAACATCATCATCATTGTCGTCACCATCATTATTATCATCATCATCACCATTACCAATCATCCACACCACCTCAGGCCTACCATGTTTGGAGCTGAGGTGAGAAAATTTTGAGAATATGGACCTCTGGTGCTTGGAATTGCACTCTCATCCTTTAAAAATCTTACCGGTACTATGTTCATAAATGATAAACTACAATACAATACAAAAATAATTATCATCATCATCATCATCATCATCGTTACAATTCTCCTCGTCGTTATTATCATACCTTTTTTTCATGATTTCTGTCATTGAAACACAAAGTGAGCCGGTTGACGTGTTGCTTAGTGAGAGAAACCGACGATTTGAGTGTCATCCCCTGTGCAATAATGCGATTCACTTCACTATCAGATTTGCGCCTCGTCCTCTGACTCGTCAAACTCAACAACCCAGTGTGCATTTGACTAAGGGCGCTACAGATAGAATGTTTCTACACAAAAATTAAAGAAATACAAATATGCATTCAGTAATTAGTAAATCATATATGTTAATCGAATCATTCGTCCTCGTGATTCGAAAAAGTTTTTTAGCCCTGGCCCTAACAATATCAGACTGCAACATTGTATTGAACTGCATCAACTTGTCCAATTTAATATTAATATTCAATTTAATTTGTATATGTATGTTGTTAACTTAAATAAATTTGAAGAATTTTTTTAAAGTATATTTTTTTGTTATTTATACAGTACATGTACACAGTACATGAGCCAAGGATTGTCAATAGCGAATATATCACTGTCCTACTTGTAGGTGACAATCCCTTACACAAGACAAACATACACACACGATGCTTTACACAAACTAAATCTCAATATGGGATTTAGGGATGGAGTTGTTTTGGTCGTGAGAAAAAATCCTGCAACACTGACAGGAATTGAACCCAGGACCCTCGGATTGGAAGGCAAGCATCTTAACCACCAAGCTATTCAACTCCGCTACTTGGCGTTCGGTATAAATCTCCCATTTATGATGATTCCTATGAGCATTGCTCGTAATGTGATAATTGACATTGCGTTTGAACATAATATTGGTAGCATTCATCTATCCTGATTGGCGTGACCTTCGGAACAGGATGCCGATTATCATATTCATTATTAAGCGATGATATTTTATTGTCAACATAGACCTAATATACTATTAATAATAGTAATAATGATAATAATAATAATAATAATAATAATAATAAAAATTATGATAATGTTAATAATAAAAATAATAATGAAAATAATAATGTTAATATTTAAAAAAATAATGATAATAATAAATACGATGATGAAGATAATGATAATAATAATAATAATAATAATAATAATAATAATAATAATAATAATAATTTTAAATTTATATAGAGAATAATGCACAGTATCTCTATGCTCTTTACGTCAAATTATTTATAAAAGAAAAGCTGTTGAATCAATACGTAACTAGCTCCCAGATGTTGAGTAAAGTTTACCTTCTGCTGATGATGGCCCAGGTGTGTGAAAGGCAGCTCTGCACTCCAGGAGGTGAGCGACACGGTACCAATTGAATCTTTCCTAGTAAATTCAAATGATGGGACCGGCAGTATAGTGTCATCATTTTGGAGGATAGTAGTTTGTATCTTTTGGCCATTGTATGACGTCACACCATTATCCGTTGTCGGAAAATTGTTTGCGTATAAACTATCCCGGTCATCGACAAGGTCAGCATCAGCAGAGTTGCTTCCATCCTAAAGTAAGTTTCAGATTCTTTAATTGGTCAAGATTTAATTATAAATAATTAACTATCAAGGTATTTAACTTCATTTTAAACTCTTTATTAATAATAAATAAAGTAATCTTTAAAATTCCAGGTATTTTAAATAACGTCGAGAAATTTTCAAGAATATGTACAGAATGTATTTTTTACAAGATTTTTTAAAATTCTATGTTTGTTTTTAACTAGTGTTGTTCAAATACACATGCGCAAAATAGTGCACAAAAGAAGTCAGTAGTCAGTTGCTCTAATTTGAATTGAATTGCCAACGAAGCCCCAGTCGCCAAAGTTGGTTAATTGTCCGGGTTTCAAATCCTAATTAAAGAAAAAATTCACTCTCACGTAGATTCTTCTTCTTGAACGACAAAGCCATGACCTGGGTTTAAGCCATGACCTGGGTTTATATTACATTCGTTTTACTGTTTTTGAATAAAGAATGATTCGATGATATAATCATAAAATAAATTTTCACAACTAGGTATACCCTAATACATACATACATTTACAACACAAAAACAAAAACAAAAAAAAAACATACTAACTATTATCTTAGAACATTTTTCTTGAAATGGTGTTAATAAATTGTGACAAACGTTTGTTGATGTGGGGATACGTTATGCCAAAGTTATTTATGATGTTCTCCTTATGAAAATGATGTACGATATACTACCCTATTGCTCCTGCCTTGCATTATTGATGCATTTTACTTCAGGGCACTTTTGCAAATAGATTCAAGGTACAGCATTCTAAATGCATCAATTAAGTTAAGTGACCTGTTTACAATTTTGTTTTATTGCAGTTTAAACTTAAGATAATTCATTAAACAGAACGATAAAATGACAGTTAAACGTTATTATAATGAGTGTGAAGAATCTTGGAATACACTTAGAGTTTGTGTGCTGTAGTTGAACGTATGTATATTATACTCCCATTATCCGATACAATATAAAATTGTAATAAACCTTATGTTCAGAAACAGGACTTTTCTATGAGTAATTAATAATAATAATAATAATAATAATAATAATAATAATAATAATAATAATTATAATAATAATAATAATAATAATAATAGGAACGGATTTATAAGAAAAAGAAAAAAAATTATTGATCGCCCAAAACGCCTCAGAGGTTATTTCCAGCCGTCTAGAAAACAAAAAATTCCCGGGGGCATGTCCCTACCCCTTTGGGTAGTGTCGTCTCTTGATCGGCCCCCCCCCCCTGTTGGACATCTCTGGATTCGACCCTGATAATAACAATATTATTAATAATAATAATATTAATGATAATATTAATAATGACAATAATATTAATAATGATGATAATAATGATAATAATAATAATAGTAATAATAATAATGATAATAATAATATTGTTAATGATAATGATAATAATTTATATCAAGGTTTTCGAAATACTCTTAACCTGTTGTTTTATTAGGTACGTTCTGACTGACTTCGAGCGCAAGTATGCGTCCCTGCTAGCCCCGTCTCCATCCTCCACATCATAGCTATCACCTAGGTACTTCAGCGTGGTTTCCGAGATGTGGACACGCCTTGAATAACACATGATGGAAAGAAGAAGACTTGATATATATATATATAATATATATATAATAAATAGGCCTATGTATGATAACGATAGATTGCTGATTTAATTCCATCATGTTTAGATGGAGGGCTGAATGCAAATATCGCATCGTTTTCAAAGGATACGCTGCCGTGTTGGTCTGTTCTGATGAATACGTAAAAGAACAGACCAATCACCACCACTGTGTCCGAATTTTATGTACCGGTGTCTGACCTCTCGGAAATATTCGACCTCCCTCTTCTATGCACGTAATGATCATAGTTAGGTTTGGCGCTCTCCAGACCAAATTATTCAAACTGGAGGTGGGATGTGAATTCGGCCTCTGATGGTTTAACTTACAGTTGGCCAAATTCGTTATAGAGTATGGCCTATGGAGGGGTAAATTAAATTAGAAATTCCTGTGACAATCGGGACAACATAGATGTCACAATAGCAAAAATTTCCTAATATTCCAATGGTGTTTAAGTCAGGAGATAACGAGAATTTTGAGAACGGGGGTTGGAAAAATACTAAGAGGGGAATTTCGGACCGTACTTAGCATTCAGTACGATAATATGTCAGGTAGAGCGGTGACACAGTATTCATATTATGTATGTATTCATACTATATTAAAGGTGAATTTGTTGACGTCGTATATCCTAATTAGAAACCTACCCAGGAACACCTCCAGATTCCATATGATTAGCCAGTGTGACGTCATCACTCCAAACATCGAACTGCCATTTCCGAAGTCCCATTACACCACACAGTACCGAACCAGAGTGGATGCCAATGCGCATGTCTAGGTTCACCTCTGTCTTCTTATTTACAAGTCTATTCAGAATTGATCATCAAGTCTGTTAGTCATATAGGGCCTTATGATATGTAACGCGAAATTCATCATTAATATAAACATATTTACTGTTTATGACGTCATTTATGTTGCTCTTTAAAATGTGTGTCGGGATTTTATCAACAAAATATACACATGTAGGCCTATGTGATATACATTTTGAATGCAGATTCAGTAAGCAAATAGTTACGGTAGTGACACTTGAAAAAGTATTAAAATATCAATATATATCTGAAGTCACCACTACTCCTCAATCAACAATTCCCCTTTTACATGGCTTAAATTAGCCTTTGATTAACAACAACAATTTCCGTAAATCGTAGGCCTAAAACAGAAATAAGTTATTCGTATGTCTGAGTTATGGTAACGATGTACTGTCTTCAGAATTGAGTGTTTTACATGGAAAGCACGCAATATGTACATTAAGCCTAATTAAGTTGCTGTGTATATTAGGATATAATATATGCATAATTAATGCACATATTTTACTGTATATAGTGGAATGATTTAAACATAATGAGTGTATACAGTACTATGCATGTAGTGGAATATAGTGCATAATATTGTATTTAAAGCAGTATATTGAGTTACTAAATTAAAATAACACGCTAATTATGCATATCATTAAATTCATTCATTATCATCATGTCTAAATCTTAATCTTGAGTTATAGAATATGTTTTTGTGAGCTTACTTGATGGCTTTTATCATGGAAAGACCCATCTCCACTGTGTTCTGCGCATGTCTGGTGTCAGCATTCGGTAAACCGGATACACAGTAATAACAATCTCCTAGTATCTTGATTCGTAAACATGAGTTCACCTGAAGTGGTTCATCAAATCATTATCAACTTAAGTAAATGTTATTCTTGTGAAACGGGGGTGGGGAAATGGAAGGGGGACTTGACGATGTTAATTATTCGGCAAGCTAAATATTCAGATAGGTTTATACCTCTTCTCTTCAAACTTTTGTATCAGCCAATTATTTAGAAAATATGTAGTCGACTATAATCTTTGGGTTATAATCGGAGCATTGCAATTTCATGTAACCTTCTTTATCTTTATGGATCTAGTATTCGTGTAAATTCATAGTAGAAGTAGGCCCAATCTCACTGTGTTTAGTAAAAACATGAAAAATACAATTTAGTATATGAATATATATTGCATCGTTAGCTTTCAAATAAATTAGAAGAAAAACTTTGTACATTCTTCAACATTTTACCTTAAACATTGTAAAATTAGCCTATAAAAACTGAACGATTTGTTTAATGTCACCAATTGTGCAGTCTGTCATCGTTGCTCTCAATGTAGGGCAGTTGAAGCCTCTGGGTGACAAATAGAAACATGTTTTCTCCTCTATATTAATATATATTTTTTAAAATATAACATATTGATACTAAGGAAAATTTATTGTTGATATTAACGTATCAATAAATCGGTATGAAATCGTACATGGGACAGACTGGCGGTTTTGCTTTAAACCACAACGTAATTAAAAATTGCATTGATAGAGAATTATTAGTAACAGGCCTTAGGACGGTAACCAGATCAGCATTGCAGAGATTGCTTGTCAACATAGACTTAATTTGGAACGTTTAGTTTCAGATTGTTTGATATGTCCATGGACCTTGCACTCGCTGCACGTCTTGTCGAGTAGTATCAATTATCAGAAACGATCTTGAATAACGCAGCCATTGTGAATTAATATTGAAGTTTTATGAATGCCAGCTTCATATTAAAGAACACACCGACTTTACGTCTAGTGTAATTAACGCTCGAAGATTTGTTTAATATTGAAGCGGCGTTCATGCGGCTCAGACATGATATGCGGCAAAACAGTAACCTTTAGGCATAAGATACAGAAAAGTCGCAAACAGTGTTTCATGAATGCGGCATCCATACGGGATTGTGGTGTATTGGTCTCCCTACATGATAAAATGTGTGGAGCATATACCGGTAACATTGATGCGGCCTTGATGCTATTGATAAGAAATAATGCAATATTATAGCGATATTGTTTTGAAATTTGTTTGAGATTAAGAAACATTGACAATGCATTGATATGATGTTGATGTGACATTGATGCCATATTTACTTTTCCTCACTGGTACCACACTGCAGTGACATGGATGCGACATTAATGCGATGTTGATGCAACATTAGCTAACATTGGTGTGACATTTATGTAACATTGATATATTGATACGACATCAATATTATTGATGCAATTGATGCGACGTTGATTCACCAATTATACGATATTATGCAATCGGTACGATTATTGATGCCGTAGGCCTAATGGAGCGAATTTGGTGAATCATCAAGGTCTTACCTGTGCTATTCTGTCAAATCGCCCGAAGAGTTCATTTAAAGTTCGTACAAGTTCTTTTGCTGTCATATTAGCAGCCATCTGCGTAAACCCTTTCACGTCGGCGAATAACAAACTAGATATATTTTAAACAGATAAAGATAATAAGATATTATAATAATCAGAGGTACAGTAGTAATAATACTATTGTAATAATATATCACAATAACACATTCCACTATTTTCATCACTACACATATAACAGTTAAAAATTGTGTAACAACATTTGATAGCCTATATTCTTTCATGTAAGACAGAATAATTATGCGTTGAAACCATAAATACTCTACATTAGGCGTAGTTTATGTCTTTTGAAAACATCATAACAGACATGGTTGCAAAATTATGGTTTACTTTGGTAGGCCTATTCGAATATTTTGTCCAACTGGAGTGTAAACAGCTGTGTAGTACATAGCCATGTTAAGTTAGAGAGGACTGGTACCATAATATCAACATTTTGGACAAAGATAACTAATTAATTTTACATTTATGGAGAACTTAAGAGTTTAAAGAATATGAATGGCATTGATTTTCAATAGCTTAAGACTTCATAATTGGTGTAGTATGTAAGTGTATGTGCATTTTACGTTTGCGAATGTTTTCATTCATCATCCAGTTGGTATGCTGGTGGTACTGTACGTGTATTGTATTTACTATTAGTGATAATTATCACATCCGTTTTATATAACTTAAGTCTGGGAGTGTGGTGACCCCATAATGAAGTTCCATTAGAATCTATGTGGCGGGAAATTTGAACTTAATGAGCCAGTGTCTCATTAAACACCTCCGATTTTTACTTAAGTTTAAAAGACAATAAGAGAAATGGCAAAGTAAATACATTAATACTGTCACTTAAGAAGGTTATTGAGCACACTGTAAATATATTTTGAAAAATAAACATAAATTAATCAATAAAAAAGTCTTACAATAAAAACTTTATTACTGCTAGTTGTAAATCTTAATGAATCGTAAATTATTACCAACATTTTTAATAATGAAATTCAAGTTCATATAAAGCCTAGGCCTATATAATACTTTATGCTGGAATTTTTTTATATCTAATCAGTCACATTTATTGATTACAGTCAAATTATTAAAAATTCAATGTAACAAATTTATTTTATAGTAATAATATTTTTCTCTAATCATACCGTATACGCTGTTGAGTGAAACTTAACTAGGGCAAACAACAACGACAATGACGCATAAACTGATAGCGCTGTCAGTTTAAAAGACTTTGAGAGGGAGAAAATAAAGATAAGTATGTATTATGGCATACCTTACGTTCTCATATCTGTGGATATAGATTTTATGGAATCTTGTTGGCTGCTGAATATTGTTGCATTCGATTTCATAAGCCAAATATTGCATCATTTCCTTGGCGACGAAAGACGGTAACACCGAAAGTAAAAGACGCTCCTATTAAGACAAGTATGCATTATCAGTCGGCTTATCATTTCATTTTATTTTTTTTCTGGATAAAGTATGTAATACATTTCAAGTGACAGTTATCGGTCATTCGTTAAATCTGCTATCTCTTGAGTTTTTTTGATTCAGTAAAAACACATACAAATATTGAATTGAAAACTGACATGATTTGTTTCTACAGTGTTTTGTCAGGTTAGTTCAACCGGCCAAAAGTGTGTACATTAAAATCCTCAAGGCATACAGAGCAACCATTGGTGTGACAAGCAAAATAAAAAGATAATTACATTACAATCAATTCTTTTAAATGGTTTGTGTTTCACTTGTTGCTTGGGAGTAACTACCTGTACAAACTGGGGATTTATTGGCTCTGAACGTTAAAGTCAGGCTCCGGAGGAAAACAAATTTTGATATGTTGTAGAACTGATTTTTTTTTTTTAACAGAAAATATATGTTTGACGAAAAACTGGGGAACAGTTAATGAGATGCATATCAGATTTTTGAATATTTAAAAACTAGGGAAAAGGGTCGTAACCATCCTTTTCCACCTTCCCCCATCCCGTTTTTAAATATTCAAAAATCAAATAACTTTTTTTGTGTCTTAGAAAAATTAAATCTACAACATATCAAAATTTTTTCCCTCCGGAGCCTGACTTTAAACAGTTTTAATCCATCTTAAATTATATTTCCAATAAGTTTTATAATAATTATCTATTGTTTAGGGAAATATTTATTGGTATTTTAGTGTTACAGATCTTAAGTTCTATTTTTAACTGTACATTTTATTATCTAAGTGTAATCAGAATAGTTCACTAGGATACCTGCTGAGAGTAATTTGGCTCATTTTAAGGAACCCTGTCTCTCGGCCTGTTTTTTATATTTATGCTTACATTATGTTGTATTGTAACCGCTTCTATTGAGACAAAATAAATGAAATGAAATGAAATAAATCCCGATAATAGGGGTGGTCTGTCCGATTGTTGGTGTCTTGTAACTTGGTCAGGTGTCAAGTGTTTTCTCAAAATATGTTTATTCAAGTAGTATTCATATAAAGTTATGTAAAAAATTGAAATTATCGAAATCATTATACTTGTATATTCAGTGCAATTTTGAAAATGTAATAACAGTTACTATTTTCGCATCGGGATCTATGACATATCGACCGCAAAGAAACAGTGGCAGATTCAAGGATGACAAAATTGGCAACTGGTCCCTACTCAGGCCGGAAGATCAAAAATCACTAACCAAGTGTGAAACCATTAAAGAGAGATTAAAATGACTACGGTAAATCTTCGAAACTTCGAAGCTTATTCCAAGCACTCCCACAATAATAAAGTAACACTACCTTCCTTTCTCGACCATAGGTTACGACCCCTTCTGGACATTAAAATGTTCGACAGTTGTTCAAAGGTAAAAGTCAGTGAGCGTCAGTTGAGTTAAGCTTAGCGTATACATATAAACATTTATGTAAATGTACACTAATAATTTTCGAAACGTAATGGATAATGGATAACCTACGGTTATGTGTCTGAAATATAAAAATCTAAATTCTAAGATTGAATGAAACACAGTGCACAGTTCGCGTTTTCTGAGAAGATTTCTAAAGTATAGAGAGGTAACCAAGTTGGGTGGGCGTGGTTCGACGTTTAATACCTCCCTTGTTTGGTGACTTTTTGGCGTTAATGTTTCATTTTGATATGTAAAAACAAGCTGCTTGTTGATTGCTTAAATGTTGAATTTCATGCGTTAAGGTTCATACCTTCTCCTGCAATTTAAGGTGGGATCAGATTAAGGCGTTAAAGTGTCCCATACCTGTTACATCAAGAGACACATAAAGTGCCTTTGCCCATGAACGCTCAAAATACTTCGTAAAGGCTCCAAACCCCGACCTTTAAGAGTGAGATTATAAGCCGCAACCTACGACTGCCGTTTTCACTATAGACGGAATTTGTCAAATTTTACTGCTTAAAGCCATCTAACAATTTTAACCCTATAAATGTATGCTCACTGCTTAATTTACTTTCAATTTGCTAAATTTTAAAGGAAAAGAACACAGACAAAAAGAGATCTGTTCGAAATGTAACATACACTAGTATACCATTCTCGAAATGAATCAACTAGGAGAAAGAAGTATGATAAATAATTGCAGAGGCATTAGTTGAACCAAACCACTTTAAAATGACGAATATGTTAAAGGTTTCTTTCCTCAATGGTTGAAAGTAATTTAAGTCAACCACTTCAATTTTGCACCGCAATTCATCTAATGTGTTAACTACGGCTAACATTTCATATATCTCAATACCAGTACCAGTATACACATTACATTTAAATCCATACTTTGTTTATAAAGTCTTGGAAAAAAAACCATCAACAAAACAATTAAAAAAAATGCTGAATGTGTCAAATTATCAAAGATTAATTTAAAATTACAAAGTGGAATTGTATTCCTTTTACACGTCTGTTAATTGGCAAAAAATATGTAGGTGTGAAAAATCGCCCGGGATTGAAACAAAATAATTTTATGATCTATCTCTTTACGTGTAATATTTCTAAGTATCTCTTCGGAGATCATAATCCGCGTAGCACTAATGCCACATGGATGATGAGACGGTCAGTGGTCTACCATATAATATTCACCCTCAAATGTTGATAATACGTTAGGCTGAATCTTGTGTTGTATTCATAGGAATACAGACAAATAAAAATCAGTGGATAGCACTTTTGCTATAAAAGTTTAATTCAACGTTGTCGTGAATTAAGGTATTATGTTGCAACAACGGAGTGCTGCCAACTGATTTATATATTTTTTAATTAAAAAAAATCGGGTTAATTTAGTATTATTATTATTATTATTGCTTTTTGGATGTATTTTTGACATACGTATGTTTTTCTTGTTTTGATAAATATTTGTTGATATAATATATGTTTTATTCTCCGCTGTTAGAGGTTTAGCATAATTATACTGAATAAATTTGAATTTGAAATACTGTATTGAAAAACATATATAATTACGCAGGCCTAATATCCACAATATTGTGAGAGTATTTAATTTTAGATATAATTCTTTATTCAATTACGTTGAAATACATCGACTTCCTGTTGCCCAAAGTTTACTATTGTTCTACTACTTCTCAAAACGCGTTAAACTGATCTTGGCTTTACATCACTTGACAAAGGTTTTCGTCTAATTTCGTATTTTAGCTGTTGTATGTGATTATTACTTGTACGGTAAATTTCTTTGATAATAATCTCCAATCTCAAGAAAACTTCAAGATACTTACATATTTACTAATAGTAGTATCTTCTGCTATTTTTTAGTTAGGCCTGTCTGATTTATGCGGAGAATTTTTTTTAATTGATCTGTTAACTGTGTTTGATTGACTCAATTTCATTTTGCGATTGAGATATAAATGCAACATCAGCATATTATTGCATTTAAATCTTAAAGCATAATGTGTTCATAGCAATGATTGTCGTTTCAAACGCACTTGCGTTGTATATGCCTAAGATGAAGAATATCGGAGACTCTTACAATCCCTTGTGACACTTGTAATTTAGTTTTGATTTGCCCCTCGGAACCGGCACCTACCTTGAATTTAACATCTTTAATCAACCGGGTTTTTTATATATTGATGTGAGCTCACCTATCTTCAGGATATCATGCAATCTGTTAAATGTCGTTCCTTTTTATATTTTTATATTTTGTATATGTTTATACTAATTTATGTTTCAATATTCATGTTCTGCTCTTCACAACCTGAGTGCAGGGGTTTGGAAGCTGTTTGGCGAAGCGGGAACGGTTTGATTTCCCAATTTCGAGGTCAAGGTTTCAATCCCTCGCTGTGTATTTTCCTTGTTCACAAAATTGTCTGAGCTTTATAATGAACATCATTCCCCCAATAATCCATTTAATATATATTATATATTATTTAATATATATATAATTCATTTACCGCTCAATCTACACCGAAGCCGGTTGGTACATACATGGAATATGGTATATTAAAATGAAACATAATATCCCACCCATCCGGATATACTTAATTTTAGAGGCAGTTGAAAGTATTAACACAATTTAAAAATGTTGAATAAATTCATCTGGTTCCAAGTTATATTTGTTTGAAAAAATTAAAAATTTAAAGATGTTTTGAGGATTTTTGTCCTCGTTGTCTACAGTGCACCTTAATATCAAAGTAAGTGTGTCTTAGGTATCGGCAGTCTTCTAATGATTAGGCTTATCGCAAAATCTGATTATTACAATATAGAGACTTTTAATTGTTTTGATTTGGAGACTTGGTCGAAAACATCTATTGTTTTTTATCATAATCAGGCGACCTAATTTGCTTTGCTTTCCGTTAACCCCCGCCCCTTGGATATTGTTGCTAAGGTCCCACAAGGCGACAGTGTTAAAACATACGCAAACAAGTGCGTTTGTGGGACAACACGTGTGTTAGTGAGACGCGCGCGCATTCCTAGCGCTGTTCTGATTAGTCAGTTGTTAAGTTTGATTGACACTCCGGAAAGGTCTATTGAAAAAGCAATGTACTTGAGTCAAATGATTTAATTCAATTTGATGAGGTGGAGGTATTTTACTTCTCATTAACAAAATCGTATAATCATCATATTTTATTCATTTATTTTATAAAAAAGCAGTGGCGGATTCAAGGGGCTGCATAAGAGTGCCATGGATTTCTGGCCATCTAGAGACGCCATAATCATAATTTTTCCAACAATGGTGAGGTGAGGTGGGTGGACACTATCTGTGAAAGTCCCTTGCTGGATCCGCCACTGGACAGTAACTGGTTCACTGATAATGGTAATATTCTGTAATTTAATCTGTAATACACATAATTATGTTGGCAAATTATTTGAAGATAAATTTGTGATGGTAAAATTTCAACATGTATAACACACTCTTGATGTTTCTTTTTTGCAATAAGACAACAGTGACGTTATATTTGGCTATTATATTTTCCCTTTAGATCATTGTGCAATTAACTTTAATTATTCTATTTAATTCTTGTCATCTCAGTATAATTATGACTCTCGGCTCTTTATAATGTTAAGAATCTTAATAAGGCTGGATTTGTTGAGACTCTTACTTGCATCCCATGAGAGATTCTTGATCTGGCAGACGATAGAAGTATTTTCGCTTAATCTTGTTTTACCTTCTACTAAGGACTTGTTCATATTTGTACACCGAAATGAAAATTACAACTGTCCATTTAAGCTTAAGGAGTATTATTTCAGAAAATAAAAAGGAACTGTAGCTGTATGAAGATTGACAATTTTTGTTTTACTAGATTCAATTTCAAAAAGCTTATGTATATTTTTTTTTTCACGTTTTATCAAAAAAACATTTTTAAGGTTATTATATTTATCTTCCATTCTGTTTATGACAGCGATGGCCAAAGTATAAAATAGTGTGTTTGAAATTAATCAAAATCAAAACCTACTTAGAAAATATAGCTCTTAATTATTATTATTAATCACCTAAAACGAATAAAATGAAGCACTTAATTCGATATAGGGATGATGGTGTCGGCAGTCCTAATGAGAACACTCAAAATGGAAATCCTGTCACAGGCATATTAACAGTTCTGTGAGAATTGCAAACATGCAGACGTATCTTAAAGTATCAGCTTGTTGTAATATAGGCCAGTAAAGGTATTCGGCCTTTGAATTATGAAGAGTTAGTACGTTTTGAAGATAGGACAAAGAGAGTTTCGGAGTAATATGAAATAGGGTAATTAGGTATTATTTTTTATATTTTTAAACAACGTAGATTACGTATGTCATTCCTGATGATGACATAATTAATTTCGAAATATTGAATCCCAACAAGATGGCGTTCATTTCAATACTTGGAGTATGTATTATACTTTCTTATCTGAGATTAATCAGTGGACCTTTCGAGATTACAATACAATAGTTATATGTATTTCCTTCATATCCACCATACACTCACCACTTACAGTATGGAGTGATGCTTTATAAACTCTTTTATGAGGCTTATGAGGGAGTGGAGTTGTTTTGTAGTCGTGGAGAAAAATCCTACAGTGACAGGGTTTGAACCCAGACATGTGGAATTTGAAATCAAGCATCTTTACCACCAAGCAACAGTTCTACTTCGCAAGCTTTAGCTCCACTCATAAAAACAATAACAACAATTCAACACGTCTAAGCTTCTCACTATAAACCACATTCATTCCTAACAGAAATTCTTGTTTTCTTTTTCTCTTTTCATTCATTCATTCATTCATTTATTTGGTCAATATCAACATATACAAGGAAAAAACAAATAAAACTTATAAAACCAGTTAAAACAGTAATTTTTTTTAAATATTCAAAATTTCTTTAAGAAATATTAAAAAAATTGAAAAAAGAGGTAAAAAATTCAAAGATAAAAGGGTTAAAAAAATTTAAATTACGCAGAAACGAGATAATGATTTAAGAATGGTAACAATAAGTTAATAAAAAATCAGTATTGAAATTTATCGGAACTAATAAAAAATATTAAAAAGGTACAGAGTACTGTGATACCAATATAGAAATTGTTCTAAAAATTGTATTTAAAATTTAAATTTAAAAAATTTCAAAAGGAGCAGATGAAAAAACAAGAAGTTGATATCGACCAGGATAGCCAAGAAAACCAATTACATAGGTTTATTTCCGTTGGGGTCCTGAAAAATAGTAATAAAGTATAATAAACAAGGTTTTATGACATGACTTCTTTCGTTATGACTGTCTCTTATTCGATAAGTAGTCTTTTACCATTGTTCTAAATAATGAAAGGCTGGCGGAGCTCTTTATTTTGCTTGGAAGTTCCATTCATGGATGACGGTAGCATAAAATGTGCCATCGATAGCTTTAGATGCTTTCGGTGGGATAAAGTTTAAATCGCTTTGACGTGTACCATGACTGTGCTAGTCACATACTTTAGCAAAGTGGCTATTTAGGTACGATGGAGCAGAATTATTTAATATTTTATGCAATGTGTTTAATTTAATTTGTGTTACTCTATCTTCGACATTTAGTAATCCAAGTTTATTTAACTCTTTCTGCCCAACATGGCTCCGAGGTCCTTCGTTCGTTATATACCTAACCATATTGTTTTGCAAAACTTGTAATTTGTTTTTGCATTTCTTTGTAGTTCCAGAGTACCATGATGAGCAAGCGTAATCAAAATTACATTGGGTGAGGGCAGAGCATAAGATTTTCCTTGCATTTTCGTTCAGAAAAGATGCTTGCCTATATAAAAGTTTCAGTCTAGCTACAGTTTTTTTGACAACTGATTGAAAAATATGTTCACACGACAGGGATTGATCAAGTGTTATACCCAGGTAATTTATCGAAGAAGATTCCATATCTTTATAGGCACTCCATTGCAACGAACTGAGAATTCATTTGCTTCCTTTAATTTGTGATTAGTTCCAAACAGTATTGCTTCAGTTTTGCCTAAATGAATTGATAGCTTATTTTCAATGAGCCATTTGTAGCAGGATTCTAATTCTTTACTCAGTTTGCTGGCCAATAAAGTTGGATCTTTTCGGATATCATTAAAACACTGTCATCTGCATATAAAATAAGTTTGCAATTGACACTAATTGACATATCGTTAATATAACAAAGAAATAAAAGTGGGCCTAGTATACTTCCTTGTGGGACACCACAAGTTATAGGAAGTAGACTCAACCTTGTTTACACAAACCAACTGTTGTCTGTTTTCTAGATAGGATTTAAACCATTGGATTGATCCTATACCCATTTTCTCTAGTTTGCTAATTAAAATACCGTGGTCAACTGTATCAAATGCCTTTTGTAAATCTAACGCTACCATACCACTATAATTTCCATTAGACATTTGGGTACGAATGTAATCTGTCATATGAATCAAACAAGAATCAGTTGAGTATTTACGCCTAAAACCTGATTGAAATTCAAACAAAATATCATTTTCTGTGAGATATTCGTCCATTTGGATGAATACTGCTCGTTCAAGTATTTTTGACATAGTGCTCAAAATGCTTATAGGTCGATAGTTACTTACAACAATACAATACAAAAATATTTGTCTTAGGTGTGCCATGGCGCAGTGATTGTAGTTTATGCTATCTCTCTGAGGTTGTGAGGGTTCGGATCGGACCTCCGCTGGTGAATTTCGCTGGTGCTTAGTAAAATGTTGAAGCAGAATGTAAAGTAAAGTAAATGCATAACAATTAAAGGCTACCAACCTGCTTCTGGTTTTCTTTGACCATCTGTATGCGGGTCTCGACGCACTTTCGGGTTTCTAAGAATGACTGCCGATGGATTCTATCCGATAAATAACACGTGTACAAGCCGGAAATATTCGCAGAGCAAAGTATAAGTAAACTCGAAATCAACTGAAAAAATTAAAAAACAAAAATATTAGTGTTAGAATAGACAATATTCACAGATATTTATCTTTGACGTTAAGTTGTGGCTTAATGGTTAATATGCCTTCTGATCGCACGAATCCGATAGAATCAGGTGTGGTGACGACATTAGGTGACTGGGTGTCGTCATTGAGTATCAGAGCATATTATAAAGTAGAATCGGGTGTGTCATGGGATAAATCTGGATATAGCAAACAGCAACTCAAGCCTATTAGATAGAATCGGGTGATCAGAATTGGTAACTTCTGGGGTCCCAAATGATCAGCTTTGCTAAGTGGATCATCCTTGCTTAATAATGTTGGGTCTACAACAAATGTTAATTTGTCATCTAATAATTAGTGGTGCAGTGGAATTGCCTTAATGCTTACTAATTCACCGATGTTCATAATGATTGGAGACTGGCGATAGATAGAAAGAGACAGAGACCTGGGGCGGATGCAGGATTTGGAGGTAGGGGGTGCGTGCCCCACCATGGTTGAGAATAGGGACCTCTCAGGCGCGGATCCAGCGTTTTAGCTCGGTTTCCATAGAATCGCTCACCCTATCGGCGACAGTCGTGACAGTTGTGGTTCACAGACGAATCGTGGTGCCTTCCCGTCTGCAACGCAATCGGAAAAATTGAAGCAGGTTCAACCTTCCCAACAACTGTTGGAGACTGTCGCCAATAGTGTGAGCGATTCTATGTAAACTGAGCTTTACCCTGACCATCGCACATATGGGGTCCCTGAGTCAGCGGGATCATGGGAAGAGAAAGTATGTTTGCTTGTTCCGTCGCTGGAAGACTATTTTAGACGTGTGGCGTGGTGCGGGGGGGGGGGGGGGGGGGGGGGTGGTTGGCGTTAGTCTTAGGGTTCTCCTAGCTTCGGAAAGTTTTGTTTTCTACATGATGAGACTTCTATTGATGAATGAATACACACTGAATTTTCCCCCAATTTACCATGGACAATTAATAATTGCAATGATGAAGATGATGATGATAAGGAGGAGAAGAGGCATCGTAGCAGGTGACGACAGGGTCCTGTGCAAGGTTAATTAACAGGTCCATTGATGTAAGTGTCAACCGAGGGCCGTATCCCGAGTTCGTCGTCACATTTTCAATGCACACAATCGGACAACAGTAATTATCTACAATTTATATAATCAGTACATTCTCGACTGTCATGAAAATTTCATATATCTAAAAAATTACGTTATATGCATGCTCGGAAGCGGAAAGTTTAACCTAAAAGTTTGATATATGTTTCATATTGCTTGTTGAATGGTCTTTAATGATATTATATTCTCACATGACCACAACATAAGGAAGAACACTTTGTCACCTACAAAGTTCAAACCCATATAAATTTATATTTCCTTAGGCCTAAATCATAAGGAAGTCCGTTCTATATCCAAATTTCAGGAATTGGTTCTATGCATGCACCGACGTGGGAATTTTGTTTTATGGTGTTTGTTGAATGGTCTTCTTAAAAAATATTACAGTCTAATATGACCACAACATAAGGAAGTCCATTCTTTAAATGTTTAATAGATAGTATAGAGAATTATGATTGTTGGATTGGATTGGATTTATTCGGTGTAAACACCAAGGATAGCCCACGAAAGTCTAGAAGACTTATTTCCAGTGGGGTCCTTCTGGTGGTCATTGGGCAGTACAATGGCAGACAATCCCCTACTCTTTTCCGAAGAGTGTACTGCGTTCTTTAACGTGCACATGGGCCATGAATGCACACGGGACCAACGGCTTAAATGTCTCATCCGAATGACGGTGCGCTATTATAACTTGTATTTCAGCCCTCCAGCTGAAATACAAGGAGAGGCAGCGATGGGAATTGAACCGGGGACCTGATCTCCACGGCTCAGCGCACACTCAGTGGCTACCACCAGATTAGCCGACTGAGCTAAGCTGCTCTCTCTGTTTATCAAAATCATTATCCAATCCAATCCAATCCAATCAGAACATTTGTAAAGCGCCTTTCTTACACATACACATGTTAAATCCAATTTTAAAAAAAAAAGATAAATAAATTAAAAAAAAAAAAAGTTTTCAGTGCACGCGCCGACTTGGAAAGATTAACCTAATAATCTTGTTAATAATGCGGTTCTAAAATTAATCTTATGCCCACAACTTTTAAGTTGTAACTTCAGGAAAAATAATAGGCCTAATGCATTTTGTATCGCCACCAGCTGGGAAATAATTAATTATGCATAAATGTCTTCTGTGATTGTTTGATTGCCAACATTTCAATGCTTAGTGGGTGGACGGTCGGATATAATGCGTAACTCTAATAATGATTTCATATTTCGAAAAATTGTTTGGAGTATATGATCACGTTCCATAATAGATACATCCACAGGGTGCCCCTAAGCCAAAATTTCAAAATTGAATAAATTGCGTTTTTCTGAATCACGACAGACTGAGTAGATTTAGGCCTACTGTTTAAAATATAAAAATTTAAGATTTTATTTTTTTATCACAGAAAATCACAAATTTACATTCAGTACATTATCGACTGTCTTGGAAATCTATACCTTCAAATTTGGTTGGGTGCATTATACACACTCTTCGTAAAACCCCACCTACTAGACATACCGGCCTGGAAACTTTACATTGTATTTGCCATTTAACGCAGCAGGGCCTATTATACGATTATTAGATATCTTCCCAATTTCTCAGTATTAAAAACAATTTTTTTTTTCACTTCCAACGCTGTATGATTTGAAGTTTACATACCATTCACGTCGTTGCTCTTCTTCAGATTTCGTTTAATTTTTAGTCTCTCAGTGCTCGGTGGTCATTTTTTACTTTCTTTTTGGATGTACTGTATCAAAGTGTGTTCGTAAGTTTTAAGCTCTAGGTCTACAATTAGGCTACCAACTCCATTAAAGACATTTTTTTGTTTTCTTTTTTTTTTTTTTTTTTTTTTTTTTTTGTTTTGTTTTGTTTTGTTTTTGTTTTTGTTTTTTTTTTGACGAATAGCATTCGTTAAAATAATGAAATACTAATTCATTAATCAAAAAGTAATAATTAAAATAATATGTTTTCGCTTTGGTGTAATTTTGGAATAACAAAATATAAAAAATATACCTTTCAATAAGGTTATAAGAATCAACGCACATGTATTGCCTATCCTCCCTGTGATTGATTTTGTATTAAACATTGTGACATAAATCATAATAATAATAATAATAATAATAATAATAATAATAATAATAATAATAATAATAATAAACAGTGTATCGTACGTTATTGCGTAGCCGATGATTTAATTACAGTCCCTCTTTGATTAATACTTAGACAATGCAAAAAGTTTATTTTGTTTTAGCAGGGGTGGCGCCAGTGGGGGAAGGAGAGAGAGAGAGAGCTGACCCACTCGTCGGGGAAAAAACACAATTTGTCGGGTAGAAATTTTTTTAAATGTATTTTCTACATATTAGTAGACTCTAAAATCGATTAAATAAGCCTTTGAAACCCCTAAACAGTCAAAATGTTCGGGCGCTTTGGCTCGGGGCCACTTTCGAAATATTTTGAGCGACGCCAACTTTTCTCTCGTCAGGGATTCTGTCCCCTTGTCGGGTACATCGCCATTCCCGTATAGATAGAATCCTACGTTTATTTTAAAGAGATGGATTGGTTTTCCCATTCGATATTAGGCCTAATAACTTTGTCCAATAATTATTCATTAACATGTTGTGTGTATTAGGCCTATTTGATTGTTGTTGTTTCATCATTTATTTGTTGTTATTAATTATACCGTAAAACATCGAATCGAAGCCCAATAAGGCTTATTCTCGAGATAAAGCCGGCTCATCTCGAAAAGAAGACCCCTCCCCCAACCTTTAGTTTGCAAAATTAGCCTCGAAAGGAAGCCCATTTCTAAAGAGCCCATGGGCTTCAGGATCTTTCAAGATAGCATAGGCTTCTTTTCGAGATATTACAGTACAAACACTGTGCATGAGTTTCAGAAAACAAAATAAATTAAAAACAAGCTTGGTTTATAAAGTAGTTTAGGTGATTTAATGTTTTATAGTACAAATTCACAAAATTTACAGCATTCATTTTGAAAAGAAGCCCTCCTTTTTACTTTGCAAAAGTAGCCCCGAAAAGAAGCCCATCTCGAAAAGAAGCCCATTCAAATTTCGCAAAAAAAAAAAAAAAAAAAAAAAAAAAAAAACCCACATCTTGAGGTTTTACGGTATATTGTATTTGTCGATATGACTACCGAAGTACCGTTTACATGTTAGATGTTTTGATGATACCTTTTTTATTTTCTTTACTTATTATAGGCTACAGCAACTGCCAAACAGCTTACAGCCAGCTTACATGGTATTCTCGTGCGAGCCTCACACTCACTCATAGGGAAGCTCAATAAGCAAATTTAAAAAAAAAATGTTTTCAAAGTCAAATTGTTGTTTTTCAAAATATGCAGGCCTATAGCTAGTTTTTTTCCACCATGTTTATCTCATTTCTAGAAAAACGTATTCCATACGTTATTAGGTAGTTTTCGCCGCACGACGTTAACATTAACTTTAACGTTAGTACCTAACATGCAGCGCGATAGCTCCGCCCCTTTTGTAAACAAATCGAAATACGCATGCGCAAACCCGTAACTAACGTACGTCGAGCACGTACAATCCTGAAATTAATGTACTCCGCAACGCAAGATGAATAAACTATGATGTCATCCGTCAACGTTAAGGTTACCGTCGTGCGGCGAAAACTACCTATTAACCTACTCCTCCGCAACGCAAGATGAATAAATTATGACGTCATCCGTTAACGTTAAGGTTTACGTCATGCGGCGAAAACTACCTAATAATCTTCATTTACATTATTGTTAATAACACGTTATAATAAACACGTTATAATAAAAGGTTTTTATTTTCTTGCTGTGCTGCGAGATGGAATGATCTCCTAAAGGTATATTCAATATAATATTTTCAAATGATCACCCATTTATTTAACTAAC